CGTCGTCGTCGTCTCTCTCTCTCTCTCTCTCTCTCTCTCTCTCTCTCTCTCTCTCTCTCTCTCTCTCTCTCTCTCTCTTCTTTCCGAGTGTTTCTGCCGCGGCGCAACCAGCTGGAAATGAGATCTTGCTCTGTGCGCGGCAGATCGCTCGCCGTATACTTTGTCTCCGATCGACTAATCTGATTCTTTCGCATGATCGCGGATTAGATTTGCGCTTAACACGTCCGCAAAGCATCAATTTATATGTAACGGTTTCTTCGAGACAACCGATATTTATCGTCCATGTGCTGAAAAGAAGCACCGCTAAAAGAATCAAGACTTAAACTGTTTAAAGATTTTAAAATTAAAGAGAAAATTACAAAATTATACAAACATATAAGAACACGTGAGATGAGTGAAAAATTTGCTAGATATACAACAATATATTGGAAGATTATAGTATTGCAAAACAGATTGAAATAAAATTGTAACAGTCTTAACGTACTATTTGTTCTTTAATAAAATACAGAGGAACAGAAATGAAAGATTGCATTCAGAAATGCAGAAATACTTGCTAAATAATTTCTTTTTATTTGCTAACCAATTCGCCGACGGATCAAAGATAAATGAACATTTCATCGAGCGGAAATCAAATTGCACAATGCGAGCAACGTTCGTGCGGAAAATGTAGCAACGGGTATTCAGCCGGGATTGTACAGGAGATAAAGGCTTGCGGCGAACGACTTCTCGCGATCGCAGTAGACACGGTCAGTCGTGATCAGACTGACAATGGCCAGCAGCAGCCGGGGGCGTGGGGCTCCTTGTGACCTCACGCAACGCGAGGAAAGCCGGCAGAATTCACCGATTCACCGGATTATCGATCGTGTCAGCCGTGTCTTTTTCTTTTCTCTTTCGTTCTCGCTCAATCCTCTTTCTTTTCTCGCTGTACTTTGTGAGCGGACAGTCCGCGGCGCGGACTTCCGATTGACGCACCGCAGCTGCAACTCACGACGACTCGTGAGCACAATGCCGATAAGTTATGCACAAGATTGCTTCATGATAGTTCTGTGTAATAACGGTTTCCATCGGCATTGTGTGCTCTCCCTACTCGTTAAATAAGGTTCGATATAAATACGAACCGTGAGTGCAGACTGCAAGAGTCGTAATTAATTTTGAATCAACTTGTCGGCGGTGTTATCATAATCGTAATCGCTACAACTGATGGAAATGATGAAGCGATTTATTCCGTTTAGTCTTTTTTCCGCAACGTCCTGCGAATCTTATACATTTCTTGTTTTATCGGAATAAAGAATTGACAAAAATTGCCGCGTAATATTAGATAATTAATATTTCTTGTTAAATGCGTGTTCTTGAACTGTGGATTCTCTGGCTAACTTTGTGTATTCATAAATTGAACGTTTTTATAAGATTCTTGGGAAAACACGGTTAAATGTGGAGTAGCACTTTGTTATACGATCGCGAGTTTTCGATTATATTTGCGCTGCAAGAATTCTCTCCTCTCCAACGCGATAACTTGCCGACACGATGCGCTCGATTGGTCGCAGCGCAAATTGAAAATTGTTCGACGGCTCATAATTATGACTGATAATTATCGTGCTCACGTGCACGCATCGGCGCGGCCCTTGACCGCGCGCCTAGGCCCTGCGATGCAAGCGGATAACCCGCGGCGGTCGGAGCGACGGCGACGGTTTCGTGACCGATACAGATGCCGGTTTAATGGACGGACAAGACACACCGCACGTTGTCCGGAACTGAACGCTGCCCGGAGCGAACCGCCATGTAAGCGTAGGCGTAGAGGCTTTATTCACGTCATTCACGGCTTAAGACGTAGCCGGCGCAACAGCGGACGGTCGCAAAAAAGCGCTCCGTTGCATCTTCCGATCGTTGATCTTTGCCCGCTGAAGAACCAGAACGGCTCTCTTCGGATCTCCACTCTCGTATTCGCAGCGCTCTATTATGCAGAATGTTAACCATCAGCGTCTGTCCGATCTCATGTATATGGATGACCGCTTCTTAACAGACTTTCTTGAGAAGAGAGAGAGAGAGAAAGAGAGAGAAAGAGAGAGTTGGAGATAAATATGATAATTTTGCTAGCGAGTTTTTCAGGGTTTATTGAGATGAAGTTTTACTTTATTATCGCGCAAAGCGGCAATAAAAGCGGAAAGACAATGTTAGATTGCGCTTTGCCTTGAGAGTCTCTTTAGTTTACTAACACTGTTTGTTATAAAATAATGGCGGAAAAGTAATATGGCAAGTACAGAGTTTATGGGAATACTCTTTCCACATTCTAATTTTCTATTTACACAGTGGAACAACCTAATTTCCTCGCAATTTAACACCGTGTTTATGGCATGCAAGAATAATCTCATTTCACATCCCATATAAGCAGCTACAATTAATTTTTACTCTAGCACGCCCTTCGATTATTCTTACTTAATATTTGTGATGCTATATTTGAACAAATATATAGCTTCATCTATCATAAATAAAATTACTTGCAACGAAGAAGATTTGAATGCACGCCACTTGGATTCAGTGCGAACGCTTGCAGAATTATGTCACAATCGCTACCAGACTGCACGTAAGGTTTCACGTTAAAATTGTTTCAAGGCGTTTCACACCATTTTCCAGCGTATTTGCCACAAAGTATCAATAAATTTAGAAGCAAGCGGAAAAAAACGGAAGCACTCAATATTCCAACGGAGAAAGGAAGAAGATAGTAATCGTCCAAGCGGTAAAAGAGAAAATCGCTCCGACACCGTGTGTTCATGATACACAATCACGCACCTATAAATCACTTTTACAATACACTTCTCTCTCGTTCCGCATAACGAGTAAAAAAAAATATTTAATCCAATTTTCGCTTTGGAGTTTAATTTCTCACCGTATCGTGAGGCTAAGTCGGTTAATCCCGCATCGTCTGTATCGCTCGAATCTCGAATTACCTTGTATTACAATTCAGTGACGTGAGCAAGAGACGTTGTAACATTTCCGGAATAAATTTCGACATTGTGATCCGAGCAAATCGCACGGACTCGGGGAAACTCGCTCGAGACGCTCTTTTCTCTCCATGGTCGAGAGATGTGCGTGCGTGCATCGCACGAGAGAAAAGAAAGGATGTCAGTGGTCAGTGGATGGGTCTCGGAAGACCGTGTCACGCGTGGCTCGCGTCGGACCGGACCGGCGACCTTTTACTCCCATTTTGGCCACCGAGACCCGTTGATCCAGAACTTGAGAAAGCTACAGAGGTTGATTGGCAGAGAGAAGGAGAACGACGGGATGACGCCTGCATTGGGCGATCTAATTGCTCGACGCCTTGGAAGAAGGCAACTTTCATCTTTTTTCAAA